AAGTGACTTGAGGCTTTTCTTGTTTAAAATCACTTTTCATGCACGTGGTTTGTTTTTGCTTATATGTTGTTCGGGGACGAACAACGGTTAAGTTTGGGGGATTTGACATGTGTCATATTTACGTGCATTTAATAGTGATTTTCGTACTCGTTTCGTCGTAGTTTGATATATAATTAATTATTATTTACTTAATTATTATTAATTATTTAATTAACTAATTGATTTTATTAAGCTATGATGAAGTGTGTTATGTTGAGTTTTAACAGGAAATATGGTCGATTTAATATTTGGAGTTGAAAACAGTGAGAATCGTTGATGACGGTGTGCGAGCAGTGCATTGAGATGGATCTAATTATATAGGCATTAGAGAAGGAAAGCATTTTATAGTCTATTGGGCCACAAGCATTAGCATTTAAAGGGAAGAGAGAGAGGCCCAATGCAAAACCAGCCCAACTCATCACTTAAAGCAGGGGCAGTATTGTCATTTCCATTTCATCTTCTTCAAAGTTGATGCACTTTCACGTAACCACATAGTCTGCCATGCCTGAAGTGGAAGCTTCTACCTTAGCACCATCTTACCGTCGACGAGTCGCCGCAACCACGCCACTGACAAGCCACCGAAGACCACCATGGTGGCCGTAGCTTCCAGACTATCTCCGGAGAAGCAGTTGTGCGGCCGTCGAGGAGCTGCTGCCGCCGGGCTGAGCAAGGGCTGCCGTAACTCGCCATATCCGACCACTAGAGACCGTCCTGCCACTATATTATCGCCGGAAAATCGACCAGGAGACGAAAACCACGGCCAAAATGAAGCTTCGGAGCTGTTGTAGCCTCCCAGGTCCACACCGGTCGTGTGAGTACGAGACACAAGTCGTGTCATTCCGACGGGTCGTGAATCGAGCTCTCGGCATTTTCACACGACTCGTGTGTCCCTTGACACGAGTCGTGTGAGTCTGGACGGGTTCCATACGCGTTTTACGCGTTTTTCCTATTTTTTCGGTATTTTCGACCTATTTCGACTAGGACTCGACCACATCTATTTAAGAGACACTTGGACACGTTTTTGAGGAGGCGGGGACCTAATTTTCAGATCTTTGGAGAGCTTTGGAGGCTAGACACACGAGCAAGACGAGGGAGAAAGCCCGGGAAGAAGGGATCGACGGAGCCGAATAAGCTTTTTTTTTTCTTTTTCTTTTCTTCTTTCGAACTCAATGTTTTATATTTATTTTGAAAGCATGTTTCTAGGCTAATTTATTTTGGATTCTAGGATTTGTTAGTACTCGGATTGATTTAGGATTTAGTTTTTATTTATTTCATTCCGGTTTATCTTTCGTTTATAAATTTCTTGTGCGTATTATTATTGCGTGAGTAGATGGCCACTATGAATGCATATTTGTAATTGATTTGAGACCGAGAGGAGATAATTGATTGCTAGAATTGAGAAATTTATAACGTAAGAGACTAAACAGACCGAGAGGTTGATAGAATCTTGCGAGAGAACGAAAATCCTAGGAACTTATGGGAGTTAGTTGTTTATCTTGAGACCGAGAGGTGATAGATAACAATTAATATCTACGATTTGCTTGTTCGAGAGAAATGTTGAAATCAATTTAGCAATTATCTCTACGATTGGTAAAATTAAATAAGGTTTGTATGAATATAAGCGTTTCATTAATTAATTCCGAGGAAAGCAGAACCTAGAATCTATTTTTATATTTTATTTTTATTTATTTAGGTAAATTAGTTCTTTGTTTAATTTCTTAGTTCATAATCATCATCTTATTCGTTAGTCTAAATAATATTTAATCGTCATTATTTTAGTACTTAATTAATTTAACTACAATCTCTGTGGAATACGACCTTGCTCGCCACTACCTATAGCTACTCCGTACACTTGCGGATAGCAAAAATAATTAGCGAACAGTTGGTAAAGACTCTGTATTTTCTTTACATGATTCTTTGTATATGGCACTATGTTTGAGGGCCTTGCCGTCTGTGTATTGTTTTTGGGAAGTTGATTGTAATGTGTGGATCACTTCTGCTCTTATACGACTATAAGTTATTCATTCCTATGTAGGGATACAAACGAATCGATCAACTCGTGAGCCGCTCGCCAGATTATAAGTTGAGCTCGAGCACTTCGAATTTGAACTTGAGGCAAAACTGAGTTTGTATGCTACAGGCTCTGAGTGTTTGGTAAACCGTTTTAATGTAAGTATAATTTACCTAATTATACCTAAATCGTGCCAAATCAAAGAATAGTTCTTATTTGAATAGAATTTTTATATTTATTATTGAACCAAATTCGAGCAAAATTTAAAAAGATAAAATTTGAGCCAGTCTCGAGCATTTTTGTCAACTGGAAGGTTAAAAAGACAAGCTCGAACAATGTTAACAAAATCGAGCTCACCTACTCGGCTCATTTGCAGTCTTCATAATTCGTATATTTGCCTAATCTAGAAAATGTCCAATTATAGATGCTTTTTGAAATTTGGGTTGCAAATTAGAAGGTATTTTTAGTTAAAATATTTTTTCAAATGCTTGATTAAAAAGTCAAATGGTGAATTAAATAAGTTGTTATATCAAATTGTTCACAAAATGATGTTAATCTATAAAAGCTTCTGTACATTTTTTTTTTCTTCATAAGATTGATATACTGCCAAAACACAGAACTAGTACAAATCTCGTGCGATTCAAGAGTAAAAAATATTAATTAATATTTATAAATTAAAAATTCTTATTAAATAATATTATAAATTTAAAACATGGAATCATATGTAATACAACGTACCTATATTAATTTATTAAAAATATTATATAAAATTTAAATTATGCAAAATTACATAAAAATTTTATCTATTTAAAATTAGTACACAACTCGCGCATTGCACGTAAATGAGAATAAATTACATTATATTCATTTTCTAATATGTGTTATCTCAAAATTCGATTTGACTATAACGCAATTCCATAAAATAATTATCTTGGTAAAATTTTATCATATATTTAAAAACTTATTTGAATAATAAGTTTAAAGATAAAACCTATATGGTTTCTTTGATTATTATGAATTTATTTTTATATAAAATATCTATATTAAAATATTTAAGTAGTTGAATAAGGTTTTATGCCAAAAAAATCGACACTCCTTATCATGCTAAAAAAAATGAACAGTGCATTTCATACAAAAATTATTTGAAATGTTTTAACAAATAATAAATTAAATCGAGACCTAGTAATTATAAAAAAAAAAATGGCCAGAGTTTTTTCTATATAAAAAAACATCGATACATGCACATTATATCAAAATATCTATTCATATTAGTTTATGGAAGTTACGATTAATCGGCTAAAAACCAATATTGGCCTCACACAAAAAAA